CAACAAACCCTTTTCCTGCCCCACCTGGCTGTCCCTGCCTTGGCAGAGCTGTGTCTCGTGCAGGGGCTGAGAGGTGCCAGGTGGCTCCGTGCCTCGCTCCCAGCCCCGCGGGACACGCGGCACCAGACTGGGGCTGCTGCCAGCACGGGCTCTGTGCTCCTCTTCCAGAGGATGCTCACACTTCTGGCAGGGTCAGGCTCCGAGAAATCAGCTCGGGCCAGAGGCTGTGGGACATGGAGCAGTGGGAAAAAGTGATGCTGCTGGGCCTGCTGCGTTTTGGGGAAGGGTGAAAGCGAGGAGAGGAGCTGGTGGACCTGAGATGTTAATTCCTTCCAGCTGTTGTCAGTCTGGCAGGTTCTCAAAGGAAGTTTAATAGACTGCAGTCGGCTCCCCTCGGCCCGTCCCCCATCCCAGCAGAACCTGGGATTACATGAGCTGCTCTGGCTTCCAAAGACCTAGTTTTTTGGTTTTTTTTTCCCCTTTGGCTCTGGAAGTGTTTTCTTTCGTGTGAGTGTGTGTGTGCACGCACGTGTGTGAGGCCTTTCTCTCATCTCCCAGCAAAACCTGCCCCTTGCACTGCAGGGAATTGGGAGGGACTGTTAGGGTTGCAGGAGCAGGAGTGGGAGCAGGAGTGGGGGCTGCATTGGCAGTGAGGAGGAGGAGGAGGGGGAGGAGGAGGAGGAGGAGGAAATGGCTTCGTGGGCCTCCTTGCTGGAGCGCACCCCAGTCCGCCGTGTGAACTGGGAGGAAACAGGATGAAGAAAGTATTTGGAGTGGAAAATAAAAATGCTCCCTTATTTTACTGATCCTGATTGAGGACAGAAATAGCCAGGGCTGCTGACAGCCATCCCCACGGCAGGAGCAGCACTGGATGTGGGGCTCAGCATCCTCCAGCACACGGAGAGAGGTGCCCAGAGACATCAGGGCAGTGAGGTGAGCCAGTCCCGGGGCAGAAGAGCTCCTTACCTGCTCCTGCAGAGTGTCCCAGCCTTGTGCTGTCCATCCTGCTCTGCCCTGGCTGCCCCTGTGGCACTGAGCCCTGCACAGCCCCCGGAAGGCACAGCCCTGCAGTCCATCAGCAATTAGACAATGGGCTCCCATCATTAACACTCCCAACGTCCCATCCCTCATAAATCACCAGCAGGGAGTATAGGAAAAGGAAACACTGCTGGCCAGCTGGGATCAGGCTCTGCCTGGCCACGTGGCACTGGGGGGACCCTGCACTGAGCTGCTTGAAACCAGCAGCAACACAGCAATGCTAATTTAGGTAATTGGCTCTTTTAATGAATTTTAACCCGTTTCCCCACATTGTTTCACTTAAGATAGCACAAGCAGGGCCAGCCAGGCTGGGTGAGGCAGGCAGAGACCCTCAGGGTGCCCAGAAAGGCCCAGCAGGGTCAACATCCACCTTGGTGTGGTGCTCTGGCTCGGAGAGAGCTGTAAAAACCAAGTGGTGGCAGGAGAGTGATTAGTTAAAACTGAGCACATCTGTTGTTAATTAATTCCCAGGCAGGAGGGTTTAACTCTTGCCTTCCCCAGTGCTTTGCAACCTGGGTGGACACTCAACTTGCATTAAATGAAGGCTTCAACTTAGCCTTTGAAGCCCTTTCAGGGACTTGAGTTGCTCTGGTCCATCATTCCTTGCTCTGGTTCATCATTCACTGCCCTTATCCATCATTCCCACATCCCAGAACCATCCCTGTCATTTTCAGGAGCACCTGGGACGTGACCAGAGCAGCCAGCAGTGCTCAGGGCAGCGAATGTGCCTCAGGCTTGGGGTTGGAGCTGAAATAAATCTATCCCTGCCCCTTCCAACATCCAGCCCTGAGGTGGTGGAGAAGGTGGGACATCCCAGAGGGTGGGTTTGCAAGGCTGAGCAGCTCTGCACTGGTTACTGCTACTTTATTTGCATTTTTTTCGAAGGCAGCTGTCCCTGCAGCACACAATGGGTGTGAACATCACATCCACTGAGCAACCCATCAGCGAGGAGCTTGGCTCCCTTCCCTGCCTCCCGCTTTGGACTGGGACCTGGGTCCTTGGGAGCAGTGCTAGAGGGGCTGGAGGAAAGAGGGGGAGCAGGTAGGGGGGAGCTGAGTGCTTGAGGTGCAGGACCAGCCCACAGGACCCTCCCACACTGGGGGAATCTGTTCCCCATTAAGCAGCTCCAGCAGCCACCACGGCTGGTGGGGAACAGCCCTGCCAGCTCCAGCCTCCCTAATTAGCAGCACAAGTGAGGCCAGGCTGGGGAAGGCCAGCGCCTCCATCCCTACTTGCCAAGGATGCAAAGGGTTTGGAGCAGAGCCTCAGCCAGAGCCTGTGGAAATGCTCCCACCGACCCTGAGTGCTGGATGAGGCTCCAGTCCTGTTTTTCCTGGGGTGGGCAGCTAGGTGCATCCCACCCCCTGACTCCCCACTGCTTGAGCAAGGCCTAAAGCCTCAGTCCAGCACCCTGAGCCTTCCCTGCCATGTGTGAGGTGGAGGAAGGCTGCCCACACCATCCTCTTCCCCTCCATGCACTTGCACTGAGCCTCTCAGTCACCACTAAAAATAGGTTTCCGGGCTGAGCGGCAGTGCTGGAGGGCAGACAGCCCAGATCCAACAGCAGCCCATGTCACCGTGACCAACTGACCCATTTGGCCTCGGGTTTTAAGTGTTTTTCCCTCCCTGTTCAAGTCCAGCCCAGGGAGCAGATGAGCTGGGAGGGCTGAGCCCCCCGAGGGGCACAGGGACATCCCCAAAGCCAAAAGCTTCTTTGCAGCTGGGAGGAGGATGGGGCATGGGCACAGAGACAGGGCACATGGAGCTCTGTCCAGGGGGAGTGCCCTGTGGAGCAACCGTTGGGTCAGAAATGAAGAAAGACCTTTATTTACAGTAACAAATGAAAGGGACAAAAAATAAAATACCATGGCAGTTCCCTCCCCATGTCCCCAGCCCTTCAGCAGAGCATCTGCCACCCCCATCCAGCCACAACCCTTGTCCTTGGGATGGAGGGGTGAGGCCAACAACTGCTGGGGCTCGTTTGGCACCATCCAAGCCACCCTGTCCCACCATTCCTGGGACACATGGGGGTCAGTAACAACTTGGCTCCACTCCAGGGTCTCCCCAGCCCTGGCTGTGACCCTGTTGCAGGCACCAGTGAAGGAAAAGCTTCTTCCTGGGGAGGGGAACAGGCTGGGTGTATTGCACTTGGCTGCCAGTCTCAGCACCGAGGAGGGGGGGCCTGGCAGGATGTGTCCCCCAGCATGGGACTCTGCAGCCTGACTGGAGGCTTTGGCATCTCCCAGTGCCTGGGAATCCCTCTGGGGAGCTCTGTGGCACCCAGCCTGGGAGCTGTCCTTGGGGGGGTGACGCTCCATGCCACCCCACACACCCAGAGCACTGTCCTGGGGCAGCCCTGGGTGGTGGCAGCAGCACAGGCTGTCCCCAGTGCCAGGACCTGGGGTGGCACGTGGCAGGTGAGCACTCCTGCTCTCGGCTCAGGTGGCAGGAGGCTCCCAGGATGTGTGGGGAAGAGGTAGAGCATCATGGGATGCTGCTGACCCCAGAGCCCCCACAGCCCTACGTGTTCACCCTTCCCAGGCAGGATCCAGGTCCAGCTCCTCAGCTCCAAGGATGAGGTTTGCAGTGGGGGATTTGCTCTCACCAGGCTCCGTCTTTGGCATTTCCCGGCGGCTCAGGGTCCGGCTGGACCCTCCACCCACCCGGGAGAGGCTGGGGGGGGGGCCCCTCAGGAGGAGAAGCAGAGCCCACAGCACTCCATGCAGATCTCCAGGCAGTCGGCAGACTCGCAGCAGGCGTCGATGATGCCGCAGTCCATG